TAGTGCCATCTGGTGGGAATAAAATAAGAAAAACATCTGCAATTCCATGGTTTAGCCCATAGATTCATATATAGCTCTATATAAAAGGCCTATAAACTCTCTAATTGTTTTTAGACATAAATACTTAGTTTTATTAAGTTGTGCGTTTGGATATATATTTAGACATTCTCAAAGACAACTTTGTGTAAAGGTTTAGATTTTTTGGCTTGAAATGTTGATTTGAAGCGTCAGTTTTTGAATTATTATTACTACAGTCAAACCTTAACACAGAGAAAGCATTTTGTTACACAAAACATTAAAATTCTATATAAATGTAACAGAAATTAACAGAAATGTTTATCAGAGCTTAATCCTTCTGGGTTTGATCTGATTTCAACCCCTTATTTCAGTTTTCTGACTCGTTTTGGCTATATGGTTATAGCCATACCAATTAATTTGAGTGTGTATAATTGTGAATTGTGTGTCTGTTTTGCACTCTTGATGTTTTAGAGCGTAACCCCTTCCTTGCTGTCCACTTTTTACTGCATTGTAGTTGAATTATTGCTTTTATTTTACATATTTGCTGTGTCACAGTCACACCAGTTCATAGGTGTGTGTGTATAAGTGTGTGTACGCATGTGTGTGTGAGTGGATGTGTTGGTTTTGCACTCTTGATGTTTTAGAGTGTCACCCTGTCATTGCTGTGTACTTTTTTTCTGCATTGTGTCAGATTTGTAGATTGTACACACAAAAATTTTCAGAATTTTTGTGTTTTTGTCGATTTCCCATTCATTTCCTATGGTCGGTCATTTTTGACCGAGTGTGACTATTTTTTTTCCCGACCACTTAGTCTGCTCGAATCATGCCCTCCATGTGTGTGTGTGGGTTCACATTCCAAATGCCATGAAAGTCACAAAGTTTCGTACCATTCCGATGAAGCTGTGATTTAAAAAAATTCTAAACTGAAAAATCTTTGGTCAAAAGTGACCGAAGAGCACCAGGGGGTTAATTAAAGTGCATTTTAATATTGGTCTAATGGAAAATCTTAATTTTGTTAAGTTTGTGTAAAAGCAAATGACACTCCACAGAAAAAAAAACTAGAAGAAACAGTTTTGTTTAAATAGTATTTTGGCTAGATGTGCGGAACATACAGAACTTATTCTGGGTTTTATTCATTTTTCAGGTGTGTGTGTTTTTTTTTATTAGTACATAAACAGAAAATGTGATGCATATTTGAAAAATACATCACAATAAACATTATGGTTTTTAAAGGTTGCTTTTATTTATAGTACATAAGACAAATTAAACATGGACTGACAAAATGTTTTTAGTTTTATCCTAAGTTTAAGGCAAAAGTAAGTTATAAAAAGCAACAAAAAAAAAAAAAAAAAAAAAAAAAAAAAAAAAATAAAAGAAGAAATGATAAATTATAAATGAAATAACACCAGAGGTGGTCAGTGAATACTGTGAAACACAGAAGGAGATATTTGTCAAAGTGTCTTGGCCGTTCTTTTCCATCTGTAAATGTGAACTGGGGCAGACAACACAATATAATGTGTTTATGATATTGTTTATGATGTATGATCATATTCCACATCATCTGAAGTTATAAGACAGCTGGTGTTTAAATGTGTGCTTGAGCGAGTTTCTTTGCCTTTGGTGTGAAGTGAAGGACATTTCTGCTGTCTAGTTTCTATGAAATGACATAAATGAAGAAGACATGCGTGTAAATCACACAGAATACAACTCTGAACGTGTGCATCACTGTGTGATCTGTGAGCTTCGTGAAATGAATGAATGAATGCACTTTAATGTCCCACAGAGGGAAATATGTTTTGGACTCAAAGTGCATTTACATTGACGAATACATTGGATCATAAATAGCAAATACAAATACAATAAAAGCATGATCCCTGACCTTTACAAAGCGCTGATGTGTTCCGTCTGTTGCAGGAGTTTCCGCGAGCGCTTAAGCCAGCAGTGGGGAGCAATCAATCGCCGATCGCAATCTTGTTTGCTGTTTTTCCGTGCTTCTCTTTAGTGCTCCGCATTCCTGCAGTAATTCACGGCCCATAGAGGCCCGCATTAGCAGCTGCTGGCCCCGGCCCCGCTCCATTCCGCCACGGAAAACTGTGATTATGGAAGCTGATTGCCGTGTCTGTGATGACGATAAGAAGCCGACGCTGAGTGCCAAACCATTTCAGTGCATGAGGGGAAAAAAACTGCAAGAGGAATTAATGGCGCTTCAAATAGCCTACTCGCGGCTTCTTTACATTGACCTCCATACGGAGCCGTTTGCTACAACTGCTGGCATATGGTGCTGCGCTCAGAGTGATGGCGACTGAAACATCCAAACCATTACCCAGCGAACTGAGCTCATTACACACGCTAATTAATGAATAATGCAAGCGGATAATAGTTACGCATTTTCAAATTCCTATGAATTGCTATTTGAATTTCAGCTGCTGTAGTAATGATATCGTTAAAGTGTTTCATTCTGAGACTCTTTTATATTGCAATGTTTGTGCAGCTGCAATATTCATCAGCTACACTGAAAAGAAAAGGGAAAAATCTAAATGAATGCATTGAAAAATAATTCATAAATCACTCAATCAACCTAAGTACATATATTTATATCAACAAAAAAATTAAATAGTAATTAACATCTTAATGAATGAAATTAAATAGTAAAAAGCCAATATATATGTACATAATAAAAACAGCAAATAAAAATATAAAAAATAGTAAATAAAAATAAAAAATCAATCAGTCATTAAATAAATTAAAATGATTATATTGAACTTTTTTTTACTTTGTATGAATGTTTTTGTCTTTGGAAAAATACATGTTTCTGATTAATATTAAATAAAAATGTAATCATTTATTTAAATGAAAAATAAATATAACTTGAATAAATATAACAAATTAGAGTAATGTTTTAAAGATGGTCAAAAGTTCTTGTTTTTTTTTTCAGTGTAAAAGAAAGACTAAAGTGAAACAGAGCAGTCAAGACCAACGCAAGTTATTTTTCTGGTGATATTACAATTTTATCATTATGGGAGCCATCAGGTCCAAAGATGCTGATCTATAGCTGAAACTTACACCAGAGGTTTAATATTGTGAGAAGTGCTTAATGTGAAATATCAAGTTAATAAACATGACTGAATTCAGTGAGAATAATAGCAGTGTCATTATAAAAGCTTCTGTAGTTTTCTCTTGTTTAATTGGACAAGTGTCCCGGATATTCAGACCGATCACATGACATGCTGATATTGTGCTGATAAGGGGATTTTGTTATTGTTAAATACAATATTGGCAAACATTTGTGTTTTTGTAACCTAGCCAAAGTCCAGCTGTGTGTTAGTGAGCACTGACTTCAAATGAAGCGCCACATAGAAACTCATCAGGAATCCTTGCCAAGATCACAGCCATTACAATAATGAACGCTGAGACTGTTAACATGATCTATGAGACAGCTTCATCCTTTAGACATACTGTATGTGATGATATTTACATTAGTTTATGTGAGTTACTTTCCCCAGCCTCTGTGTTGTGTCCTCATATCCAAATGTGTACAGCAGCTTTGTGTTACTATACAGCTATTAATAACATACAAAATAAATCAATTTAAATACATACAATTATACAGTTTAAGTATTCATGTATTGTCCCTTATTAATATGTATCATTAACATGTTTAAACACTACACTTAATTAATTATTGATTATATTTTCTATGTTGCATTATATTTTTCCTATTCCCCAAACACAAACAGTACAATAACAACAAAAATGTGTCATGAGGTTCAAGTTAAAATACGGCTGTTCAACACTATTTCCTGAAATGTAGCAAATGCAGCAAATGCGATCACGCGTCTGTATGGAGAACATGTGAGCTTGTATTAAGAATGGACACAGTTCAACCAAACCAGTGACAAAGTTAGTGACACACTATGGAGCAGTTACTAAACCCGGGGGGAACAAGCCAGGAAATGAAGATTTAATGTAGGTCAGAATAGTTAATATTTTGGCTGTTTTCAGCCCAGTTTCCACCCTAAAGAAAAGCCAAATTAGCTCTAATATTAAAGTAGAATTTTCACTTATGTTAAAACTCAAAACATTTTGTTGGTCAGTGTTTAATTTAGTTAACTTACTATAAAGAAAGACACATATTTTCTCATTAATTTTCTTTATTGTTTTTTTTTTGTTATGTATTTTTAAAAATATGCATACTAAAAAAATACACCAAAAATAAAAATAATAAAAATAAATAAATAGTCAAGTCAGCTTTATTTCTATATCGCTTTATATAGTACAGATTGTGTCAAAGCAGCTTGACAGAGTCAAACAGGAAAAGTGTGTGCTGATAATGCAAGAAAACAGTCAGTTTATCAGCTAAAGTCAGTTCAGTTCAGTTCTCTTCCAACAGTGTCTGTGCACTCAAGCCAACAATGTTGCCAGAAATTGTGAAATTAAAAAAATTAAATAAAACCAATGTAATTTCTGCAGCCATAACTCAAGCCAGTATGTGTTCTACACATCAACAAAACACTATTTAATCAAAATCATTTATTTATTTTTTTTCTATGGGGAAACCATGATTTCTGATTAGAGCAATATAAAAATGCACTTTAAATAAATAACACGGCTGTTTGACTTCTCTCAGTGTGCGCTCATAACCCTGAACCGGATCAGATCTGAGAGAATGTGTGTGAGTTTGAGTCTGAGACCTGTAACTGTGAGGCTGATCTGAGGTCAGTCTGCAGATCTAACAGCGGCGCTTTTGACACGTCCATGCAGGTAAGCTGCGCCAGCGGTGGTCTCTCATGCCAGCAGGGCTGCTTTTTGCCTGAACCCTCGCTCAAGGCAATGCTCGGCCGTCTCAGCGGTGGCTCCCAGAAGCCCTTTACTCGCCGCTTTATTCTCTCTCTCTGATCCTCTAGGCATTCAGGTTGAAGCCTATTGCCGCGATCAGAACGGATAAGCTTTTTGGCAGACGCGGGCGGTGCACGGGCCAGCACCTTGCCTGAGGATAGGGGCAGCATTGCCCAGGGCAGGAGAGGCAGCTTCCAGACGAGCCTTTAGTGAGTCCAGCACCAGAGTGGATCTGACAGGTGAGAGGCCACCGCCGGCTCTAATGATGCTGCTGCGGGGCAGGGTGTGCGGCGGCCGCTGACCAGACAGCGAGTCAGATCTATAAATCATGGCGATTGGGCCACTGGGTGAAGGATGGAGACCAGGAGAGCCGCTTACCAGCCCCCAGCACATCCAGGACCAGTTAAAGAGATATAGTATAGTTCACACAAACTCAGGCTTCTGCAGTCTTAGGATATATCATCAACAGATGGAAAATTCATCATCATTGCTGCTCACAAATTATGTGATTCATAACAGATTTGAATATGTGCAGTTAGTGTTGTCACAATACCAAAACTTCAGGTAACACTTTATTTTAAGGTAGTGTTATTGCACATGTTGCATGTAGTAATAACAGTAAACTATGCATAATTACAAGCAACTAACCTTAAACCAAACTTATAAAACAGATAGTTCCGGTGCTTGATTCTGATTGGCTGAGCCGCGTTCGAGTGAAGCCGTGGTTTACAGTGAATTTATAACAGCTAAGGGGGTTTTAGGCACTACGCTTCACATCGTTATAAATTCACTGTAAACCATGGCTTCACGGGGATTATTGCTTTATTAAACCTTAAACCTATTGTCAGCACATGTAGTTCATTAATATTACTCAGTACTTATTTGTGTAATTACACTGTAATAACAACAACAAGTGTAACCAAGTGTTCCATAGCAAAAACTACTGGAACTAGTTTATTTTAATAGTTTCTTTTTAATTATTTGAAAACAGAACAAATAAATTAGTTACTTATTAGTGCCAATAATAATAAGTGAATAATGCATTAAACATGAGCATGCTTTTAAAAACATTGCTTTGTAAAGAGCAATTGAAAAGTTAGTAATCAAATGCAAATCAAAGAAACACATTACATGTTATAGAAGAGCTTGGAGGTTATACTGCATCTATTTTGATATATTGTGTTGTGGTGATCATGTCAATCATTGTGATTTCAGATTCAATCCTGCATTTTAACACGGCTGTCACTCCTGAAGCTTTGCAGCGTGTGGTTAGCAGCATAAAAAACAAAACTTTTATTAAATTGAGAATGGGTTATGAACAGAAAAAGGAGCAAAATGCACTCCCTTCATAATCACTGAAGCTGTCAATCATTTGAGTTTAGTTCTGCACTCTTGCAAAAACTCTCTTTATAATCAAAAAGCTGTTTTCTCTGAACAACGAATATCTTATTAATAAGGTGTTTATAATTTGCGGGTTATAAGGAAGCGATACACAAGCGTGCAGAACTCAGAACTCACTCCAGGGTTTTGATAGTGAATCAGACTAATTAAACTTAAACACATCTGATTGGCCGTTGAGTTCACATGCGTCTGTGATTGGCTATAATGCTCAACATGCAAAAACCCATTGTAAACGGAAACCTTTTTCTTCAAGTTTCTTCTTTTGTGTTCCATGGAGAGTGTCACATGGTTTAGTGAACAGTCAAGGATGCAAAGTTTGGCTAGTTAGCAGAGTCCAGTTGACCCCTGCTGGTTCTGTGAATTTCATTACTACAAACTACAAATTCATTGTTTTTCGGAGGCTTTTAAAAGTGTGTAGCGGTCTTCAATGGACCCTTTTCACATTTCCAGGGTTCTCAGAAGCGGAAGTCGTCGTGGTTGGGGTAAAGTTTTATAGTTCTGAACAGAAACTATAACATGCTTGCATTCCCAATTTGCTCCAAAGGCAAAGAAAAAAAAATCCATAATAGCGTTTATATTGCCTTACAACAAAAAAGCATTGAGAGTTTGATTTCAGTGGTCAGAAGAAAGAGGTCAAATGTATGCCATTCTCTCAAATGTTGCGTTAGAAACACTCACATTAATGTTTTGTAATTTAATACCAAAATATAGTGTAATAAATGTACATTACATTTTATATAAATGAAAATATAAGATTTACCATGCATGTTAGTGGGATAGTTCACCCAAAAATGTCATCATTTTGTTGTTCCAACCCGTCTGAGGAAGATATTTTGAAGAATACTGGTAACCAAACAGTTGATGGGAGCCATTGACTTTAATAGTATGGGAAAAAAAGAGAAAGTCAATGGCTACCGCCAACTGTTTGTGTAAATGATGACAGAATTTCCATTTCTGGGTGAACTATCCCTTTAATAACTGTGGGAACGTGAATAGTTCATCGGTCCAGTCTTCAGTCTGTGATGTCACAAGTGAAGCGAGTTCGTGTGATGTCATCAGCCGGTCAGCATGACATCATTCTCCTCCTCAGTCACGTGACATTCACGGCTCGGGTGATTGGCTCAGAACAACCTGTATTCATGATGAACGACGGCAGCAAACGAGACCGAATGAAGAATGAGTTGTCATGTTAGGCTGAAATATTCCTTTGATCTGCGATCGGAGGATTGCGAGGACGTTATTTTCCCCACTCTACGGTTCATGGAGCAGGGCTGATGGAATCTAAGAAACACATTGTTATCAGCACACGCTAATATGTCAGCGGTGTCACGTTGATGTATGACATGAACAGAAACAAAGATTGTTTGCATGATTAACAGCGGCCCTTTTGTCCTTTGGCCAAAAATAGAAAACAACACACAGTACATGTGTACATTACATACTTGGTTGGTCACGTCTGGCCGCCGGCGCTCTGGCTCGGTCCGGTCAAAAGCCTCGGCGTCGCCGCCGTCCTCGCTGGCCTCATTCTGTCCCCTGCGCAGGGACCTGAGAACGTACACAAACAGTCACCCTGCATCTGCCCGCTGATTAATCACACGCATCCGCGCCTCCTGACTAGTCCTGTGTGTTTATTTAGAGTAACCCATCACGCTTGACCCAAAACTATCAGCTGCGGCCAAGCATAAAAACAGGGCCACTGTTATTGAATTGAAATAATCAACATTGAACTGATTTGAGCTGAATAATGACACTATTGTCATAGAATCAAATTTATTTAGAAATAGATTAACTTTGCACCATCTATGCTGTTATTTCACTGAACTGAATTGAATAGCAGCACTATCAACTTATGTAGAGCTGCTTTATTCACTGACAATGTTAACCTAAAATGATAACATCTAAATTACCTGCTTTTATTGAAGTCAAAAATATCATGTAATGTTGTTGAATCAACCTAAATGCGTTCATTTATACCAAAACCTTTTATGGGATAAATCAGGTAGAAAAAGCGCTTTAAGTTGACAATTGCAGGTAATTGTGCAGATGAATAGAAATTGTTTAATAACTGATGGATTTTGCTGCATTGACACAGTTACTGAACTGAGCTGAATCGATCTGAATAATGACTCTATTGTCTTCTGCAGAGCTGCTTTACAGCTGAATTGCAATTAGAAATCTGTTTCATAATTTATGAATTCTGCAACGCAGTTATTTCCCTGTTTGTTAATGTGAAACAATCTGTATTGTATGAAGCGCAATAGAAATAAATCTGACTTGACCTTTGTTAGTGTGTCTTGTTAGAGCATTTGAAACGAGCAAAATATAGCTGAGTGCTGATTTCTGGAGAGCTTTATCTGGGGTGATTTTACAGGAGGGCAGATTCATGTTTTTATCAACCCAGGCTCATTTTATTAATAATCTGCCACTGTAATCATAGTTTGTGTGAAAAGGAACCAAAGGTTGTTGGTGTTGTTCCTCCACTAGAGTTAGTTTCAGCTGGAAACTGCAGCAAAATGTGTCTTTAGGTACGTTTTTTGCAGTTCTGCAGAAATGTAGGCAGAGTCGCATATTTCCAGTGAGCTTGGGTTGGTTTTCTCACACTAATATCTTAATTGCTTATAAACTGGAAACGTTCAGTCTGAGCTGTGTTCTGTGTCAGTGCCAAAATGAGTCTAAAGCTGACAGTCAAGAATCAGTTTTGCTTCTTAAGGCATGAAAACTGTGTATGGTGCACGCATGTAATAACCGCTGGATTCCTGTCTGTCACAGAAGACAAGAAATACATGTTGATTTGTGTGCAATAACATGACAATTTCTTTTCTTGAGGCTGTATATAAAAATCATCTTCTCGATGGTCAGAAGGATCAGCCTCATGAAAAGGTGCCATTTGTGTCTAAAATGTTTTTGTATCATTTCTTATTAGTCGAAAGGCAACTAATCTTTATACATTATTTCAACACAGTACGTTTAAATTCATATACTATTAATTTGAATGTTCAACTAAATTCTGGTCAGTCAGGTTCGGTGTGTCTTTATTTGTGATTGAAGATCAGGCAAAATGTCCAATAACAGCCAGGAATTATCATAACACTACATTATGTGGGCTCAGTGTTCATCTGCTTTGTGCCTGGATCAACATTTTATTTGTGCATGATGTTAATATGAATGTAAACATAACTAAAAAGCGGTAATCTGCAATTGTTAACTTATAGAGCTATTTCTACCTGATTTAACCCATACAAACATTTTGTTGGTATAAAGTAATGTGTTTAGGTTGATTAGGTGATAGTAATATCTTGACTTCAATAGAACCAGTTAAATTAGATCTTACAATTTTACTTTTTTTTTTTTTTTTTCAGTGTACTACAGCTTATATCATGGGACGTTGATTATGTCAGATACCGCGATCATTATTTTCATATCAGAAAATACTGCATTTTCAGAAAATACATATGCTGCGAAAGCATTTTAATTTCCATATGTAATGGTATCTAGTAAACTGATGAGAAACAAACATTTAAATCACGTTTTATAACAGATGTTAAGCATTACACACTGAACAGAGTTAAATGAAAGAATGTGGAAAAGCAGTGTCCTGAAATACTACGTTCTGCATATTTGCTTCATAATCACACCTCTAATCTGCATGAGAAACCTGATAAATGTGTTTTAAAAAAGCATTAATAAGCACCTGAGAGGACTGGGACTGCACTGTAAATATGATGAAAGAGCATGTTATGTTCACCTTGAATGATTATCTTCTGAATACAGCTTATATCATGTGACGTTGATTATGTCAGATACCGCGATCATTATTTTCATATCAGAAAATACTGCATTTTCAGAAAATACATATGCTGCGAAAGCATTTTAATTTCCATATGTAATGGTATCTAGTAAACTGATGAGAAACAAACATTTAAATCACG